CCAGTGGGTTGCTTTTCTGGCCAGACAGTTTGGGAGGGGGGTCTTCTCCTTAACTAATCTGTGGAGATCTGGCATCCTTCCCAGAGGGGAACCAGTGGATGAAAACAGGACTTTAGGCCGGCATTTTTTCAGCATTCACACCCCAGAAGGAGAATTTACAAAGGTGGCAAGAGCCATGCGCATTTTCCCTTTGTGCATCACTGTGTGACAGCAAAGTCATCCCATTTTCCCACCGGGATCACATGGTGTCACAAAACTTCACTTATTCTTATGGCATTGGCAGTGTGGTTTTGGAAGAAAAATCCCCGTGCTGTCTGGAATGCTCAACTGTTGGGTACCAGAGTCGGAAAACATCCTGCCTGCCGTGAACGTTAGGAAAACAGAGCAGCCCTGACTCGAGTGCCAAGTGGTTTTTTGGAAGGCTGACTCCCCTGAGAATAAAGGATATTGGTGTCCAGCCAAGAGGGCAGGCAGGAACAGGCCGTGGGCAAGACACTGGAATTTTGAAGCCTGAAATACTGTATGTTTGTTTGTATCAGTTTCTGACTTTGGTATTAAAAGGTGAGCTGCCCAAATGGGTCACAAATTGATAAAATCGGAATTATTTTTTTTCTAGCTATATTTAGAGCTGCATAAAACAGGGATTTCCCTTTTTGGCTGCTCAAGTATCTGAGAGTAACTTAATATTTCTGTTAAAAACAGAAAAAGTCTCCTAAAGGAAATTTCCTTTTTTTCCTATGGTACACTCAAAAATTCCTTCTTGTCGTTATGAAAAATTCAGTTGGTTTTTACTTCCCTATTTCCCTGTTTGAATGAATAGTCCTAATCTAATGACCCCATGAGCATTTCATCCACAGTATTCTCCAGCTTCTATGTCCTATACCACTGTTATACTTATTTAAAATGAGATTAAAATCCACCCTCAAGTGCTTGTATGAACTGCCTGAGCACATGTGTTACAAGAACCTTTATAAATATTTTCTTCCCTTTCATTGTTATGCTAATCAACACCTAAGTGGAATTTTTGGATGCTCAGAGATACTTCTGGAAGTAAAACAATTTGTTTGCCTTGTTTTGGTTTGTACATGGATTGGTTTTAGATGAAGTTTTCTGCATAGAAACCCTTGAAAATGTCACACACAATCAGTACGTCCCACTCTTTCATTTGGGGCCCAAATACAGGTCTCGAAGCCATTTCTGTTCAGCCCCTGGGGCTGAAATGCACCCACTGGGCTGGTAGATGCTGTCTGGTGTATTTGAGAACCCTAACCACTGGATTCAGAAGTGCCAACAATTTTTCCACATAGTTATTTTTGCAAAATGCCCTGTTAACTGAAAAGCCAGGCCCAGCATTTGCAATTCCAGCATGGCTTTGGGGGCAATTCAGTGAGGAATTCGGCACATGGTTTTTTGCCGGGGTGTCTCCCATGTGAACATCTGCACTTCCAAAGTGATGCTTCCCACTGATATTCACCAGGGTGATGGTGCAAAACTTGGGTCCACAGAGCCCAAGGGACATTTTTGTGTTATCTCAACAGCGCGGCTGAATCTTTATTTCCTTGATAAAGCTGGAAAATGTTCCTTCCATCTCTTTCCCCTTCACACACATATTTTCTCTTCTTTATAGAAGAAGTAATTTGTCTTTATCTCACCATTCACCTCTTCCTCTGATTGCAGTTAATGGAATTGTCACCTTTATGGACTCATGCTCCGTTTCTCAACCTGTCTGGACTTTGGCCTCCAAAGGTTACCACGAGCAGTGAAGTAATATGATTGAGTCTTTTTGGACAGATTTATGCAAGATTTCTTCTGCAGCAAGTGTCACATCTAGTCTAGTTCTGCAACAGAGAATATTTCAAAGATGCCAGCTGTCATCTAAAACCACTAAATTGTTCTGAGGGGCTGGTTGAGAGGACTCAGGGCCATCCCGGGCAATGCTGATTTACACTACCTGGAGCTGTATCCCTGCAGCTTGAAATATGAGCTTTGGTTAATAATGATAAAAAGAATGTCCCTGTGTCCCAGAAAGTCCATTTAAAATGGAATTTTCATCAGTTACTCTGTAATGAAAATGCAAAAGGGTATATTTTAAGTGAATCTGTCCAGAATCTTGGAAAAAGAGAGGGGTTATTTGGAAGCAAAACCACGACAGCCATGCTCTAAACAGGGAAAGGTGGTCTTGGGTTCCATTTCATACATCTACAGGGGATTTTCAGCTTTACAGAAAGATTCTGAAATTATAGAGGATTCACCACACATGTTCCTACTCCTCCTGCATTTGATACAAGCACGAATCAATCAATCATCATTATTCTGCACTAATACAACACCTCTTAACCCTCGGCTTTCAGAATATTTCAAAGGAGCAATGAATTAAACCTCATGTGGGCTTGGGAATATGTAATAATCTAAACTCTGATTCTTCCATTAAAAAAAAAAGGCATTTTCAGGGCTTTGATTTTGAGGGCTGGAGATCCTGTAACTTTCTTGGAAATGTCTTCATTTGTCACCCCCTTGGAAAGAAACCATGTGAGTACTAGGGAAGTGAGATGAAATGGAAAAAATGTATTTAGAAATCTTAAGTTAATACATTTGTCTGTACTTATTTTTGCTACTTCTTGGAGCAAAAAGACCTGGACACATCGAGGTGCTAATGTGATATAGGTATAAAAAAGGCAAAATTGATCCCTGTCTGTAACTAAAAGAGTGCACGGGGAATTATCATCGCCACTATACAAGTCTCTAGCAAGCCATCATTTTGAACATTACACTTTATGTCAGGCTCTGATGACTTGTACTCAGAAAAGATGAATTCTGACTGAAACAAGTGCAGAGAAAGCTTATTAGATACTGCAAAACTTGCTGTTATGAAAGAAAATGTAAATGGTTAATGTTTAACTTGGCAAAGTAAAAGAAGGGATTTAAATGGTGTCTACAAATACACTGTGGGAGGACAACAAGTATTATTTAGATTAAAAGAAAGTTCAGCAATGTATGAATATATAGGGGACAGAAATAAATTTAGTTTTAACGAACAGAGAAAAAGGACTCTGGAACAAAACAGCAAAGAAGGGAGATAGTTGGGAGGGTGAAGAGCCAGAACTATGAACCAGCGCCCAGCATGTGCATGGTAGGGTTGTAGGATTTGATTGTCAGAGACAGAAGCACTTTCAGGTCCATTTCTCTGGGCTTCGTTTTACTGGTTTTCAGTTGAACAAAACATTTGGGTATCTCCCCAGCTTTGTTTTAGGTCACTGAACTAATGTGAAACAGCTTGTTTGTGTCTCTGAGTCCTGCACTTTCTCTCCATGGAGCACTTCCCTGGTCAGAGTGGTGGCCCTATGCTGGGATTTGTCCCCATGGGCCAGGCTGGACTCAGATCGGGATAGACATGTCTCAGAAAAGAGACATTTGAATCCTATTACAAAAGTGCAGACCTGTCTTGGAGCAAAGCAGAGCATGAGAGCACACACTCTCACCGTGCCACGAGCTGATTTGGAATTACAGTCAATAGAGAGATTTTTTTTTTAAATCTATCTATTCAAAGCAAAACATTTGAGTTAATGCAAGAAAACCTCCATTTGGTCAAATGTCCTTCCCTGCCCCACCTACATGCAAGGTATTCCCAATGGGAAAACGGATTTTCACCCAGATTTCAGTTTTGTAGCAGTGTTTTCCATCAGAAAATCATTCCAACGGAAAATTACTAACTGGTTGTAGTACAAAGTGACTAGCGAGGCTCTCAAAATGATTCAGTGGTAAAGCTGGAATGAGAACCCACAGCTCCTGACCACGAACCCTGTGCTCTGACCACGAGACAACACTCATCCTTCCCTGAGCAAGGTTGTTCCTGCAGCATTTCTGCCTGGGCCAAAGTGGGAATACTCTGGAAATGTTGCAAGACAGCTTTTTTGCTGCAAGATTTCCTGCTGTAGAATATTTGGGGGATAACGGGAAAAATCCCTGGTGGCTTCCTGGGGCCAGAAGTGTTTGGACATGATGGGAATGTGAGGGCTGCCATCTGCTCCTCCCTTCATGGGTTGTGGAAGGTCATGGAGGGATGTGGTGGGATCTGCAGTGTGCAGCCACGGCTGTGCCATAGCTTGCACTCAATGATCTCAGAGATCTTTCCCAACCTAATTGATTCTGTGATCTCTGTTTTCCAGGGATGCATTTGAGCGGATCCCACTGCCCCGTCCTCCCTCCATTTTAAGAAAACCTTAACTAAACTCAGGGTTTATTCCTCACATCAGCCGTTTCCCAGCTTTTTAGGCAAAACTCTCAGAGTAACTGTGCAGAACATCACACTCACGGCTCACAGCCCTGTTTTATTTATTTAAGAAGCAATTGCATATTTACGGGTCAGAGAGGGGTGGATGTCCTTAGCCCTGACATTCCCTCCTGCTTATTTAATATTATATATATTTATATCTAATCTTCCATATTTACATATATTTATTATTATATTTACTCTTGTATATATATTTATTTTTCTGTATTGTGTATCTCCTTCCCGGGGCTCACCATGTGGCTTTTTGCACCGCTCCAACTCTGACCGCCTGAATTTTGCAGTCCTTTATGAGAGCAACGGGGCTGAGAAATACGAACTACCAACCCCTTTAGCAAACCAAGCCAACCCCCCGCCTTCTTTTGCTTTATTCGCTTTTAAACACAGGATGAAGGCGATTCCCTTCCTTCTGAGCCGATGCCCCTCAGCACCGGAGGAACCGTGCGAGGCCGCTCCCGCCTCTCCTTCCCTCCCCTTCCCTTCTCTTCCCGGCGCAGGCGCGGCCGGCCCGGGAAGGGGGAGCCCAGCGGGTTTCCCGGCAGCGGCGGGTTTCAGGGAACGTCCCTGCTCGGGGTGTGCGCGGCCCGGGTAGTGTCAGGGTGGACAAGTAAGTGACGGCGCTCGCCAGGGCACGGCGGCCCCGGCCCCTCAGCGCGGCCGCGAGGGGAGCGCGCGCTGCCTCAGCGCGGCGGCGGGTCCCGTCCCTGCCCTGTCCTTGTCCTTGTCGCTGACTTTGTCCCTTCTCTAAGTCCATCCCCCTCCTCGAGGGCTCGGATCCTGCTGCTAGACTGAGGTCTCGCGTTCGTGTTGTTGTTTAATCACCAGCCCCGCCTCCTTCCCCGGGGAGCCGCTCACGCAGCCTCGGGCCCCACGGCGCCCCGGCCGTGCGTGGGCTGAGCGATTTAATCGCTCCAAATCACTTCGCAGCCTGGTTTTCGTGGAGCTCGTGGGGCATCATAGGATTTACTTGTGTAACTCCTACATTTAGTGGGAGTGGGGCTGCCCTTCACAGCCCCCACTGCCGGGGAGGCATTTGAGGCTTCCCTGGGCTGGGCACACAGATGGTCCCAGTGCCTCCTCCTGAAGTGCTGGATCACCATTTCCCCCCCGCCTTCCCTCAGATGGCAGCGCTGGGATGACCTGGTGGGCAGGTGGGATGTGCACATCACTCATACATTGGCCTAATCCTCCAGATCCCCGTGAGATTTCCATAAATGCAGTTTCCAGTCTGGTATCTCTGGTGTCCCGTTTCCACCACTGCCTGTTCCATCCTCATGCAACTCTGCTTTCTTGCGCCTTCGCAGTCTTGTCTCCTTCCCATGGCATTTGTTCCTGCCTTCCCGTACAGCTCATGGGTTGGCAGGGAGCCCATCCCAGTAACCTGCTGGAATTTGCTTGTGTTGGTTCCAGAGCGTCCCATCACAGCCGAGTTCCTCTCTGGTGACGGGCTCTGCACTGACCTTGCAGATTCTTTCTCTGCTGAGGAGCCTGGGATTTGTTAGGAAGTTTAATAAATTTAGCACCAATGCCTCTTGTCTGGAGAACACTTAGGAAACAAATTCCAGGGAAGGAGAGGAGCCGGCTCAGTCATCTCCGAGGTTTTTAGAAAGTAATAAGCAACCACATTGCTGTGAAGGTGGTCTTGTCTATTTTAAGCCTCATATATTCCCTCATCCTGGAAGACCATTTGCTTAGTTAGCTCGAATTAACTTTTTTCTAAATGTACTTAAATGTAGTACAAAAACATTGACATTTTAAAGGGTCTGTAATGTTAATGGTACTGTTTCCTTCAGGAGTGTGTATGAGCATGTAGTAAAAAAAAAGTCACTTTTTTTCCCTGGGATGTGTGTCTGGGATAGGAGGAGGAAAGAGGAATACAGGGGGAATTGGGTGCTTGCAGGGACAGTTGTTCCCAGCTATAAGAATCATGGAAGAAATAAATTTATAGTGCCAGAAAAGACTAAACAAAGTGGTTCTATGCTGGGAAGGTTTTATTTGTATTCTTAGCCACTTCTGTTACTCTGTTCTGTGTTTCTCAGCTAAATTACCATTTTAAAATGTTGATTCTTTTGAAAACATTCTCTTCCCAAATAAGGACTCTTATCCATTTTGTTTCTTGTACTGTTTCAATAAGCCTGTTTTCTCTCTTTCCATAAGTCATTCTTCTTTCAAACGTTCCTTTGATTCTGTTAGAGGTTGATCTGTTTCCTAAGAACTTGTAGATTTACAGAAGAGGATCAGAACGGCTCTCTCGTGTGGTCCTGTTTTGTATCTTGGGCTTTTCTAATGACTCAACATTTTTCCCTGGTACCTGCTGCTGGAACAGCCTGATGTATAAAATCAACAGAAGTGGCACAGCCTTGGTGGAAATGAGCTTCATTTGAAAGGTGTCTTGAGCTGCCTTCAGCTTCCCCTCTGCATTTCCACGTGTGAAAGGGAAAGTACTCAGACTGTTCATAAAGTCTGAGAATTTGTGACCTTCAGCTGTTTGAGGCAAGGGAGCTTTCCAGCTCTGGACTTCTGAGCTGTGTTGGGAAAGTCGTTGAAGGGAATTTACAGAGTGGTGTAGGCCTGGTATCCTTTCAGGCTTGGCTTTGTAAAAGTTTGGAGTTAAGAGACTGGTGGGCTCATTAAGAAGGCAGATTTTGCATTGGTAAAACCAAACCAACCAACCAAACTCCCCAGCTGTGTATGTGGGGAGAACTCACTGCTTCAGAGACACAGGTGTGATTCTTCTTGCCCTGTAGAAAAGAAGGGGATGTAGACAAGTTAACATGTATGGTCTGTTTAAACAACAGATTTTTTCTGCAGAATTAGTGTTTCTTTTAACCTAAGCTAATATGCAACCTCAATTTCTCTTAAGTAGTTGTGACAGGAACTTCAGGGCTAGTGTTTTTGGAATTGCAGCCCAAATAAATGTTTAATTTTAAACTGACGAATTACTTGGGGCTTTCACTCTTCCCAGGCTTTTGCTATGCAAGAGTGAACAAATACTGTGTAATAAACTGTGGATTCGGCTTATAGACACATGTTTGCTTCTGGGCTGAGCATCCTGAAAGAAGTGGTTTGCAGCATGTCTTTAAAAATTTATTTCACTGTTGCATCTACTGCTGGCCTAAGTGCTCCAGTATCTGCCAGGAGTAATTATAGGCAGTTGGTTCAGATGTTGCTTAAAAGTGTAAGCCTTGATGGGAAATGCAGTGGATTTCAGCCAGAATGCTAATTTTGATGTTTTGTCATTTCATAAAACTGTGAACTCAGAACAAATTATTTTTATACTGATCTGCTGGTACGTAATCACAGGGCTAGTGCCAGATTCAACCATGATGTAGCACTGGAATCTGAAGATGGGATTAAAGTTAGAATATCAGCATTAACCTAAGTTGGCCAATTCAGTATCCACAGTAGTATAATGGCTGTATTTGCCCAGAATTCCATGTAATCCTGCATGGAAGCTCCTGGTCCGAGGCTGGTTTGCTCCAGGAATGCAGTTTAAAGCTGTTACGTGAACTGTAATTGTGCCTTTTGAATTGCATCTACTCCCATGTTACATGTTATAACTTAAACAGATACTTTGCAAATTAACATTATTGTGCTAGAGCTGTGTTTATTTTATGCTTCTTTTTTTTTCTGGCATGTTTTGTTGATTGTTTGGAGTTTTTTATTTGTTTCTCCATTTCTGTTATAGCATAAAAGAGAATGAAAAAAATACAAACGTCACAGTACAGGACTGTCTCAATTTTACAGGGAAAGAACAGAGATTGTTCTTTCTGTCCATCATGGGGTAGGTTAAAGTGATAGAGACACAGGGATAAAAAAGATCTTCCTCAGCATTAGATTAATAAGCTGGTGGATCCAAACACTTGGATCCATCAGTCATTTTGGAGCCTGTTACCTCCTTTCAACTAGTCATGAAGCTGCTACAGTCAGAATTTATGTAATAATCAGATGGCATTTTTCCCCCTCGGTCAATGTAAACAAGATAGTGTCTTCTTTCAGAGCTCCAGGCATCCTGCAGTGTCATTTGGGACATGTCTGGCTGCCAGATCATTAGCACAGCCTCTGGGGGAGCAGTGTCAGGTCAGGGAATGGATCTAAAGAGCTTGGTGTGCGTGGATTGTACCCATTGCCCTTTCCAGGATGTGGAGAGGAAAGGGTGCTCTATATACCTCCCTTATTCTGTAGGTTTTCCTGTGTGAGAATTATGTCTTGACATAAACTGATCAACATTTCCTCTGCTTGACAAGTTGTAGGTTATGGCAAAAGTTCAAAATGCTGCCAATCTGTGAGAGCACCTGTGATGTTCACGAGCATCAGGAGTTTAATCCTGAGCTCCTAATGTGGCTGGGAATTTGGCACTAATGGACCCTGCTTTTGGAGTGATGGCTCAGTCCCAGCAGGGCTGGGAGAGCTCCTGAGGACATTGGAGCCCTTGGGTTTCCTCAGTAGCCTGTGTCTTCTCATCTGGTTTTGTGTCTTCCCGTGGCCCTTTGCTCAGCCTTCCTTTTTCCTGAGAGCTCCTCTAGGCAGCTGTTTCCTGCTGTTCCCAGGGCTGGGTGAGCACTGGAGCAGAGGGAGCTGAGCGTGTTTCCTTTGTGTGGCAGAGTTAGGCTGGGGAGGACACGGGGTGTGCTGGGCGTGATCCTTGTGCCTGCTGCCGGGGGGGGCCTGGATCTTCCTCCCAAGGAAAGCCAAGATGAGCCCTAAGCCTTCCCCAAGCATATAGTTGTGAGGGGCTCCTGGAGGCCAGTGTTTTGGGAACTGCCTGAAGTTGGAAATCCCTGGCCTTCTGTAGCCACCTCCATGCTCCAGAGCAGCACCTCTCAGTTGACACCAACATGTTGTTTTTGAGCTATATCTCTACTCCAAAGTGATTTTGGGATCATTTGTGGCTGCTTATTAGCGCTTACTACTGCACTGTGTTACGGTACTTGTTACTGCCACATCCATGAACAGCCAGAGAGCAGAAAAATGCTTTTTGACTTATCTGACCATGTTGAGATTGCGAATTCAGCTCATCAGCCGTGGTCTGTGGAGAGCTGCAGTGAGCCCTCTGGGGATGATTCAGAATGCCATGGAATCGTGACTGCATGGAGAAGGTAAATACAGAGCAATTGCTTAATGTCTCCTCTAGCTCAGGAACTCAGACACATCAAACAAAACTAGCAGGTGGCACACTCAGAGCAAACCAAAGGGCTTTTTCTTGCATTGTTTACACAGAACTTTATAATCCATTACCACAGTAGTTTGCAGTTACAAAAGTTTCCCTGGACTCAGAAAGAGCACAAACAAATTTGGAGAGGAAAAAGTCTTCAAGGTCTGCTAATCCTAAAGATAAAATTTCTGGCTCAGGAAGTGCCTCTGCTATAGATAGCAGGAGGAAGAAGGTGTCCCAGGGAAGGACTGCTGGATGAAAAGGGCAGGCATATGCTTTTCTTATGGCTGCTGCTGTCTGGGGCAGGATCCTGGGCTAATTGGACCTTTCATCTGACCCAGCACAGCCCTGCTTTGCTCTTTAATCAGGGGCCAGAATGCCATTGCTCTTATTTGATCATGGGCTGTGTCTGCCTGTGTGAGCTGAAGACAGGAACTGGAAGGAGAGCAGGATTCTTCTGTTCAGTACAAATCTCTTCTAGAGCAGAATATAGAGAAAAACAACTCTGTTGTTTTAAGAGCTTGATATTTATTGACACTGGCCATGCTGATGTCTTTGTGCTGTTCCTGAGAGAGATATCTATGTAGACAGTAGAAGCTGAAAAGAAATAAGTTTTTGATCTAGTTTCTTAGAATAATTTACATAGTTATATTCCTTTCTTTGCCGATTAGTTACACCGGGATAAACTGGGATACATCTTGCTTTATATCAGACCAGGTGGAAGTAGTTTGGCCTGAAAGTATTTAAAATGCAAGAGGTAGAATTAAAGGGCAGAAGGCATTGGTGAAGTAATGGCTTTGTCTTGGACACTGAGGGGGGAAAAAAAGATATGGAGAGACATTACAGAGGATTAGTGCATAGTGAATTATTTATAGGGAGAAAAGGAGGTACTAGAAAACAGTAGAATATTTTCAGTCCTGCCTGTGGTGGGATTTATTGAGGCTACATTACAATGTTAGAGGGACTGTCAGGAAGGTTTTGGTGGAACAATCTAGG